AGGCAATATTCCACATATTCAGGAATTCCAGTAAATTCCAAGAAGGATAAATAAAAAGAAATTTATTTTGCACTAAAGGAATTTCCAAAGGATATGTCTCACAAAAAACAAAAACAGTCCTAGAAAGAAGATCTGAGATGTGGGCAATTCTAAACAAACCCTGGTTGGCTAGAAAACAGTGATAATGATGTTTGATGTGTGGGGTTAATAAAACCCAGCAAGGTAGGAAAAAGTGGTTGGCCCATGGAAACAATGTAGACCTGAGTTATTGGAGTTAAAATATTATTTGAAGTTTAAAGATATTAATTATCTTTAGATTTTTAAAATTATTTCTTTATTTTTTTTTTAAGATTTTATTTTTAAGAAATCTCTACACCCAACATGGGGCTCAACCTTACAATCCCAAGATCAGGAGTCACACACTCCACTGACTGAGCTAGCCAAGTGCCCCTATCATTAGATTTTTTTTTTTTTTTAAGATTTTATTTGTTTATTTGAGAGAGAGAATGAGAGAGAGCACATGAGAGGGGGGAGGGTCAGAGGGAGAAGCAGACTCCCTGCTGAGCAGGGAGCCCGATGCGGGACTCGATCCAGGGACTCGATCCAGGGACTCCAGGATCATGACCTGAGCCGAAAGCAGTCGCTTAACCAACTGAGCCACCCAGGCGCCCCCTATCATTAGATTTTTAAAAGGTAGGTAGGCAAGTTAATATTACAAGGGTAACTAATGACTATAAGAAAAGAATTTTAATTTGTATCTTTAAAACCAGCAAAGAGGGGCACCTGGGTGGCTCAGTCGGTTAAGTGTCCACCTTCGGCTCAGGTCATGATCCTGGAATCCCGGGATCAAGCCCCACATCCAGCTCCCTGCTCAGTGGGGAGTCTGCTTCTCCCTTTGCTCCTCACCCCACTTTTGCTCTATCTCAAATAAATAAATAATCTTTAAAAAAATAAAATGAAACCAGTAAAAAGCAAAAAATAGATTTTTTAACCTGATTTATTTTTTTTCCAGATAAAGAAAGAAATCTGAAGATATCCGTAATAATAAATGTAAATAGATTGGGTAATACAGTTAATAATGACAGATTTCCACACTGGATAGATCTGTCCAGTTCCTTCCCCCAGCTCACCATTCTGTTGTATATGCTACCAGAACCTAACTCTAATTAATGCATGGTGTGCCACCATTAAGAACAGAAGCTCTAGAATCTGCCCAACCTAAGGTTGAGTACCCTGCTCTGCAATTAATCAGCTGAGTAACATTGGCACTTAGTTAAACCTCTTTAAGTCTCCGTTCATCATCTATAGAGTGGGGTTAATGGATGGGACATACCCACATCACAGAGTTTTTTTAAGATTAAATGAGATAATAATGTAAAATTCTGAGTACAATGCCTGTACAGATTAACTATTCAGCAAATACCACTAGTCTAATCTATTATTTCTAAACAATTATAGAGACCAACTAAAACAAGCTACATATATTACAGAGAGAAAGCAAAGAAGAAATCTGTGGTCTCCACCCTAAGCCAAGACCTGGCAATTTTTGTTGATCCTTCTATGTATCTTTTTTTTTTTTTTTTAGTTTTTTAAAAAATTAATGTGGTATAATTAACTTACAGTGTTATATTAGTTTCAGGTGTGTAATATAATGATTCAACATTTCTGTACATTTCTCAGTGCTCATCAAGATAAATCCCCTTCGCTTATTCACCCATCCCTCCACTACCTCTTCTCTGGCAACCACCAGTTTGTTCTCTGTATTTGAGTATGGCTTTTTTTGGAGTGTCTGGGTGACTCAGTCGGCTAAAGTGTCTGCCTTTGGATCAGGTCATGATCCCAGAGTCCTGGGATCAAGCCCCGCATTGGGCTCTCTACTCATCAGGGAGTGGTGGGGAGTCTGCTTTCCCTGGGCCCCTCCCCTCCACCCATGCTCTTTCTCTTGCACTCTCTCTCTCTCAAATAAATAAAATCTTGGGGCACCTGGGTGGCTCAGTCGGTTAAGCGTCTGCCTTCAGCTTAGGTCATGATCCCAAGGTCCTTTGTTTGAGCCCTGCATCGGGAGTCACACACTCCAGAGCCTGCTTCTCCCTCCCCCTCTGCCTGCTGTTCCCCTGCTTATGCTCTCTCTCTCTTTTTCTCTGTCAAATAGATAAATAAAATCTTTAAAAAAAATAAAATCTTTCTAAAAAAGAGTGTTTTTTGGTCTCCTTTTTTCCTTCATTTTTGTTTTGTTCTTAAATTTCACATAAGTGAAACTATATGGTTTTTGTCTTTCTCTGACTTATTTCACTTAGCATTATACTCTCTAGGTCCATCCATGTTGTTGCAAACAGCAAGATTTCATTCTTTTTTATGGCTGAGCAATATTCCATTGTATACATATACAACATCTTCTTTATCCATTTATCAATCGATGGATACTGAGTTGTTTCCATATCTTGGTTGTTGCAAATAATGCTGCAATAAACATAGGGGGGCACATATGTTTTTGAATTAGTGTTTTTGTTTTCTTTGGATAAATACTCAGTAATGTAATTACTGGCTTATATGGTAATTCTATTTTTAATTTTTGGGGGAACCTCCATACTACCTTCCCCAGTGGCTGCACCAATTTGCATTCCCACCAACACTACACTCCTTTTTCTCCACATCCTTGCCAGCACTTGTTATTTCTTGTCTTTTTTATTTTAGCCCCTCTGACAGGTGTAAAGTGATATCTCATTGTGGTTTTAATTTGCATTCCCCTAATGAGTAATGATGTTGAGCATCTTTTCATGTGTGTGTTGGCCATCTGTATGTCGTCTTTGGAGAAATATCTATTCTGGTCCTCTGCCCATTTTTAATTGGATTATTTGGGGGTTTTGGTGTCCAGTTGTAAAAGTTCTTTATATATTTTGGAAACCTTCTATTTATCTATCATCTAGCTCTCCTGTTCCTCAAACTTCTGACATATTCTTTCTAAACCTGTACCTCTTCTCAAGAACCCTACCCCTCTCAGCATATGATATTGCCTCCTACTCTATAGAGGAAATTGGGATTATTAAGAGTGAAACCCCCAAATTTCCTACCCCCATACCAACTAACTTCTTTCCATGGAGTTTATTCTCCCTTCAGAAACTGATCCTTCCGGGGCGCCTGGGTGGCTCAGTCGTTAAGCGTCTGCCTTCGGCTTAGGTCATGATCCCAGGGTCCTGGGATTGAGCCCTGCATCAGGCTACATGCTCGGCGGGAATCCTGCTTCTCCCTCTCCCACTCCTCCTGCTTGTGTCCCCTCTCTCGCTGTGTCTCTCTCTGTCAAATAAATAAATAAATTCTTAAAAAAAAAAAAGAAAGAAACTGATCCTTCCATCTGTGATTTGGAGACAATTCATCTCATCAATTCAGAGATCTGGGCTCATCACACCCCACCTCCATCTCTTGCCTCTCAGCTTACAGAAATGCTCAAACTCAGTCATCTTACAAAAAGCCAAGACAAAACAAAACATTATCCCTCTTTGACCCTTAGTACACCCGTGGCTATGGACCCTTTCTCCGGGCCCTCAAAGCCAAGCTATTTCTTAAGAGAATAGTTTACATTCATTATATTTACTGCTAAATAGCACTGGCTGCCACAAAGTAGGACTATCACTCCCATTTTTTATGAATGATATACCTGAGCCTTAAAGAGATGTGTTTTTTCTGGCTTAAACAACTAAAATGTGACATAATCAGGATTGGAACCCAGGTCTATGTGAATGCAAGTCATGTTATTTGCATCCCATCAGTAGTTCCCAAATCTGGCAGGGCATCAGAGTCATCTAGAGACCTTAAAAAATATAGATTCTTAGGTCCCAGCCCTGATCTACCAAATCATAACCTGATGAAGAGACCGGGAATCTGTTTCAAGCTCCTTGGGTGGGTCCAACACAGCCAGTTTGACCCCAGTCTTCTATGCATTGCCTCTCATCCGCAACTCCCGGTTTGGCTTCATATTTCAATCCTCAAATCCAGTTGCTCCCAGAGACTTCCTTGTGGTTAGATCCACCGGACACTTTCCAATCTTCTTCTTAGTTGAATTCTTAATAGTATTTGACAAGCTGACCAATTTCTAACCTTTCTTTCACTTCCAAAATACCATACTCTACTCTTGAATTTCCTTCCTTTTTTTCTGATTTTCCTTCTCTGTCACTGTCTTCTCTGTGATCTGCCCACCTCTGGCCACCTTCTAAATGTTGGCACACCCACCTCGGTTTTAACTTCACCTCTTCTCACCCTAAATGCTGTGTTTGGGTGATCTCATCCACACCCATGGGTCTAATTGCTGTTTATGTATTAGTGACTCCCAAACTGGTATTTCTAGCCTTGCTCTTGGCTGCTGCATCTGTAAGTGCATAAATGAGAAACTGCCAGTCGAATATCACTTGGGTCCCTTAGAACTCAACAGGTCCATAACGGAATTCATGATCTTTCTCAAACAACCTGCTTCCAGGTCTGGCTTTGCAGGTGTATTAGCCCAGACTGCCCTAACAAAATGCCACAGACTGGGTGGCTTAAACAACAGAAATTTATTTTCTCACAGTTCTGGAGGCTGGAAGTCTGAGATCAGAGTGCCAGGGGCTGGGTTCTGGTGAGCTCTCTACCTGGCTGACGGATGGCTGCCTTCTCACTGCATGCTCACATGACCTTTCCTCAGCCTCTGAGTGTTTTCTTCTTATAAGGCCCACATTCGGGCCCCACCCTTATGACCTCACTTAACCTTAATTATATCATAAACTCCCTATCTCCAAATACAGTCACATTGGGGGTTAGAGCTTCAGTAAATGATGGGGCAGGGAGGGTGAACAAAAACATTGAGTCCGTAACAACAGATCTGCCACCAGCACTGTCCCACAGGGCCTCCAACTCAGAAGGGCCTTGTGCTTGGAGTTGAATGCTCTGCAGTAGTTGTTTTGAAATTTTTAATAACTTTATTTTTTATCTTATGGGTTTTTTTTTTAAGATTTATTTATTTATTTTAGAGGGAGAGAGAGCATGAGCTGGGGGACAGAGGGAGAGGGAGAGAGAATCTGAAGCAGACTCCACACTGAGCACGAGCGGACACAGGGCTCAATCTCGCGACCCTGACATCACGACGCTGAGATCACAACCTGAGTCGAAGACCAAGAGGCTGACGCTTAACCGACTGCACCATCCAGGCGCCCCTGAATGTATGCTTTGTAAGTGGAGTCCTATGAGACAGTGGAGCAGGCAGGGTGGCTCATACTCCATCCTGCCTCACGCTACCTCCCTGCATCCCTGGGGTAGGTTCTCAGACTCTTGCTTCTGCCCTTCGCACCCAGGGTCTTTCTTCTCCATCTCCTGTGACTGCTGCCACCTTCTATCCCCACTGGTGGGATCCTTGGCCTGGATGCAGGGATGATCGGACATGTGGACACTGTGGTATCTCGGGACGGGACATGGCAACGGCTGTCGCTGCCCCAGGTTGGCAGTGCTGTGGCACATTCAGGGGGCAACTTGGCAGGCAAGTCGCTTGCCTATCCCTGTCCAGGTAGCTAGTGCACCCTGGCACGGAAGTAACAATATTCTTGGGGGTCACCCATCTGCTGGGGGTTGGGACTGAAGCCTCATGAAAAAGGGAGATGCCTGGCTTGAGTTCTGGGGGCATTTGTCCGTGGTTGGCAGGAGGCCTAACTCAGCAGCTCTGTGCTCCGTCTTGAGGTAAGGGCCCCAGGAGTCTGTGAGGGCCTGCACCCACCCTGTGCGTGTCCCTGTCCCTAAGACAGTGTGACGTTACATGGGAAACAAAGCTCACCATGACAAGTTGAGAGAGTGAAAGAAAGGAAAAAGAGTTTTCCTGCATTTCGACACTAAGACACTAAGTTGAAAGTTATGTCTGTTTACATTCTTTTTTTTTTTTTAAAGATTTTATTTATTTATTTGACAGAGAGAGACACAGCGAGAGAGAGAACACAAGCAGGGGGAGTGGCAGGCAGAGGGAGAAGGAGAAGCAGACTCCCCCTGAGCAGGGAGCCCAATTCGGGACTCGATTCCAGGACCCTGGGATCATGACCTGAGCCTTTGGCAGACGCTTAACTGACTGAGCCACCCAGGCGCCCCGGAATGGTTGTGTTTATTAAAGAGACTTGTTAGCGAGGCCACACAGAGGCCCCAGCTTAGACTGAAAGCCTTGTGAGCTCAGAGCTTCATTCACTGCTCACTTTTCTTTTCTTTCTTTTTTTTTTTTTAAAGATTTTTATTTATTTATTTGACAGAGAGAGAGATAGCGAGAGCGGGAACACAAGCAGAGGGAGTGGGAGAGGGAGAAGCAGGCTTCCCGCGGAGCAGGGAGCCCGATGCGGGGCTCGATCCCAGGACCCTGGGATCATGACCTGAGCCGAAGGCAGACGCTTAATGACTGAGCCACCCAGGTGCCCCTGTTTACGTTCTTGAAATGATAACATTCAAGTAGGGAACTGGGTCAAGATGACAACAATCACATACCTAAGAAGCAAAGTCCTTAAAATGATTAAACAAAAAGAAGGAAGAAAAAAATAAACTGAAGGTCACTACTAGTCTTACCATTACAAAGTCTATCTGGTCCAACACAGGACAGGGTAGCAAGTCCCTTGACACATAGCCTGGTGGGTGGCTCAGAAGTTGACCGCCACCTCGAGTCCTAGACCTGCCTATGGCATTATTGATTCTTGGTATTACAGTTTGCACACACATTATTCAATTTTTATACAGAGTATTGTAAGCTTGTACTTTAAGTCCATAATTCTATTCACCAGGTTTTCAAATATAAATGAAAATTTTGACATTTTGACATTTAGGGGCCCTGCAATTTCATTTTGCCGTGAGCCCTGTAAATTATGGCACTGGCCCCAACTGCTGCTCCTTTTTCCTTGTCTCAGTCAATGATGCCATCAATCCAGCCACCCAGACCAGAAATCCCGGAGTTGTCCTTGACTTTTCCTTCCCTCCTATCCACTTACAAAGAACTCTGTTGTTTATTTTTTAGATATTTCTAGCATCCTCATTTCCAAATGCCACTGACCAGTTCATATAGGTAAAAGAAATTTTAAATGATCCCATTTTTAATTAAGCCCAAGATACTCTTTTTCCCATCAGTAAGAAAGAAACCACAGCTCATGATTAGTGCGTCATCTGGGGTGCCTATTGTTATGGACGGGACACCAGATGGGTGACAGTGGAAGATATTGTCTAAGGACACTAATGAATGTTTAAAAGACCACCAGTGACCAGGGAGCAACCAGGACCTATAAAGATATAGCTGAGACATTTGAAAAAAGAAAAGAAATCAGTCAAGGGACACCAACGCTTTTTAAACTAAAATAGAACTTTGTAGAATAACTATGATATTTTTAAGACCAACATTTATTAATCACCTTCCAAACTTCCCTTGCCAACTGTAGGGACCCCTGAAGCTGTCTAGGGCAGGACAGGAATTTCAGAGTAGAGAAAGGCAAGACGGTCGCCATGAGTATTTGTCAGGTGTTTAAAGTGTCCTTTTATGGGCCAGTTGGCAAGTGGTTCATGGGTGTGTCAGGTTGGCATAAAGGTGTAGAATGGCAACCAAAAAAGTCACCCACAGAATGCTCTTCCCAAACATCAGTTTCTCCACGTCACCTATCAAACAGCCTTCAGTAAGGTCCCGAAGTTTTACAGGTGAAAGCCCAGCCTGTTTAGGAAGATCTTCAAGACTCTCCACTCATGCCCTCACCTTACCGCCCACAGTTCGTGCCACTGGTCCTCAGCATGCAGCCGGCACAGCTGTCGAGCCAATTTCCTTGCTGTCGTCCAGCATTGCCCCTCCTGCACCCACCTCAGAAATGTCTTCAGTCATTTCACAGTCCTCATGCCATCCATCTAAACTTCTGCCTTCGCTTTTATTTAACAAACACTTAAATAACATTACTATGCATAAGCATTATTTAACTGCTGTACATATATTTCTTACTTCAATCTGCACAGCATCCCGTGACAGAAGGACTATTACCCATTGACAACTTACAGATGAAGTTAACCAACTTTGCCGCAGAGCCAGAATTTGAGCCCAAACATCTGCTCTACCTGCTCTAGATCAGAGTCTATATAACAGTATAATGATATTACATTTTATGCATTTTTTTCAATGGTGGTATCATGTGGAGATCAGTTCATGCAATAGCATATGCCCCATGGTTCAATATAGCACACTGGAAACTGCTCTGGGTATCTTAGGCAGGAAAGGAATTTAATTCAAGGAATTAGGTGCTTACAAGATTGTTTGAGAGGTTGGAAAGTAGGCTTTAGGTTGGACTTTGGGGATAATTCTCAGAATGACTCTGTAGAATGACCCTCTGTTTTTCCCCAAAAAGCGAGCTGAGGTGATGTCTGAAAATGCTTCACTGCTCACTTAACTGGGAAACCCCCACGTAATTGTGCAAATCAAGAGGTTCAAATCTTCATGTTGACTTCAAGAACACCCGTGAAACTGCCCAGGCCATCAGGGATATGCATATGTGCAAAGTCCCCACATCTCTGAAAGAAATCACTTTACAGAAGACATGTGAGCCATGCCATGGTTACGATGATGGGGCTGGTAAGTGTGCCGAGGCCAAACAGTGGGACCGGGCACGGAGTTGGTGGCCCAAAAAGAATGCTGAATTTTTGTTGCACATACATAAAAATGCAGAAAGTAGCACTGAACGTAAGGATTTAGATGTAGATTCTCTGGCCATTGAGTTCATCCAGGTGAACAAGGCCCCAGGACGCGCTGCTAGGTTTACAGAGCTCCTGGTTGGATTAACACCTGAGCTCCCCCTGCCACATCGAGATGATCCTGACTGGAAAAGAGAAGATTGTTCCTAAACCAGAAGAGGAGGTTGCACAGAAGAAAAAGAACCCAGAAGAAAGTGAAGAAACAAAAACTTACGTCTTGGGAACAAATTCAGCTGGAAGTGTAAAAGCACGAAACCAGAGTTAATCCTCTGAGGGAACAGCGACTTTGCCTTGATCGAGAACTTTGGGAATTGGGACACCGTCATCCAGAACTCAGGCTCTAGGACAGACATTGTTGACATTTGGGGCAGGATAATCTTTGTCGAGGGGGCTGTCCTGTGCATTGCACAACGTCAAACAGCATCCCTGGCTTCTGCCCGCTTGGAAGCTGAAGGACGCCGTCTGTCCTGACAATCAGAAATGTCTCCAGACTTTATTAAATGGCCCTTGGGCACAGAATAGCCCCTGGTTGAGAACCACTCCTTTAAAATAGCATAATCTTAGCTTCAGTCAGTTCAGGAAGCTGCTGTCCTATTATTTCCAGGCCCATCAGGCTCCCCTGTGATCTGTGAATCCGCACCACCCCCGGAGGAGTCTGCTCCGGAGCCACGCCCACCGCTGCTAGTGTGGATCCTGACTCGCAAAACCAATGCCTCGGCCTCTTTAACTCTGCTTCAGATTCATTTCTCGCATGAAGGCGTCTGATTGATGGAACCCAAATCACACCAGACCCCAAGCTGCAAGGGATTCTGGGGAATGCCGTGTTAGCCTTTCTCTTTTTGCAATACAACGAGGCTCCCTGGAAGGAAGTTGAAATAAGCATTGAGAGATTCAGTCTGCTGCATCCGCCACAGCACGTAAATTTTTTTGTTCTTGGCAAATGAACCAGACAAGATGAGAATGTTCATCTATTTGAGAGGAAGTGTTTTTATAGTTGTCCTGGATTAAAAAAAAAAAAAAGAACACTCTAAAAATGTCCATTATTAGGAAGAAGATAAATTCCGGCACGTGGCATTTTATCGTTCATTGTCTTAGTCATCCCAACATGAATAATACTGCCCTGCGATTTCATTTTACATATGTGTATGTTTTTTTGCCCCGAGAAGCTGCAAGTTCTTCAAGGGTAGGACTGTGTACTCCCCAAACGCTTGAACATAATTGTAGGTATATTGTGGACATTCAGTAAGAATCACTAAGCATTTTTAAAAAGTAAGTTTAACTGATTTTCAGAAACAGAGTCAGGAGTATTTCTAACCACTGCTTTTTAGCCAAGACCCAAGATTCTTTTCTTATCTCTTAGGATCATTTCTTAATCTCATAACTTTGAAACCTTAGGGGACCTTTCACCTACCAGTTGTTGGCATTGGATCTGAATTGAGCAACATATTGACGGTTGAGAGTTTAAGAACTAAACCCATGTTTCTCCTCTGAA